GGGGAAGGTGGAGGGAATACGCAAAAAATCAGTTGCATTGTGCAGAAAGAAGGTAGTTTAGCCTGAAGAATATAATCTTCAAGATCAGTGCTGTACGCTTCAAAGTGAATTGAATTTGTCCATTTTTTTTCCCATAGAAATTCTAGGAATAGCCTATTTAAAAACGGAAAAATACTCAAAAATTTTGTTGTGGTGTAAAAAAGATCAGATTCAGTTACAGGGACCCGTTCGGGAGTATTGTTAAATTTAGCTGAGTGGGCCTCAAAACGGACCGAAGAATTTGTGAATGCGTTTAAAAAGGAATTGATTTAATCAATAAATGATGGGAATAGTGCTTGTATTTGAGCTGATCGGGCAAACAGAGAATGAGGACATTACCCATTAATCCTATAATTACCCATTTCCCTCCTCCCACTAAATTCCTAACACTTCGACCTACTTCCACCGCCTTACTAACTTCTAACAATTCCACCAAATTCTAAATGTTTTTATACTATCTACTTTCCTACTCATTAAGTAACTTGCCCTCCTTTTCCCTCCACTAATTCTCCCTATATAAACCCTTCCTAGATCCAGACCCACAGTCAGTTAGTCAGTTCGTGGGAATCGTCCGTCTATGGCGCCGTTCGTCCGTCCAACGCTGCAAGCGTCTCGCCTCCCCGTCTGCCGTTGTTATCCTGTTGCACAGCTTTTGCGGTGCCCCGGCTCATCGTTTACGCATCATCTTCGTCGTTTCCTCTGGAGTGGAGCGTTTATTAGAGGAATAAACTGCTGGTGTTTCTTCTCTGTCTACCGCTACTGCAGTTAAGGACCACGTAACGGGCCTTACATGTGCAGAGCTGAATAATAAGTCGTCAACATCTTCAGTTAAATTTTTTTTTGCGTTTGTTCTAGAATCGCCTCCAGGCAAGGAGGTGCTGGTTGCGCTGTATGCATATGAGTCACGAGCAGATGGCGATCTTAGCTTCCGAAAAGGCGACATCATGTATTTGCTCGATCAAAGGTTTGTTCCTTTGACGACTTCTCTGCGAGACATTCACTAAGTTCGTTCACTTGACCAGTGCACTGTATGCTGTTTTTCAGCAATTCAGACTGGTGGTATGTGAAGCATTCGAAAGGTGGCACAGGCTATGTGCCGCGAAATTTCGTCGCAAAGCAGCAGACAGTTGAAAGCGAAGAGTAAGTTTGACTTCGGGTCAACACAGATTTTTTAATCTCAGTTATCGATTTTTTGCTGGCGGTTACTGTCAGTTTGCAGCCGAAAGCACTGCTTAAATACAGAGCCATAAAGATCTGAATACTGATAGAGGCGAAACGCATCTGTTGGAGAGTACCGGCTGGAGATTAATATCTTGGAAAGATCTGGCAAAGATGGCTTCGACTTGCCCATGCGTCTCAGCAATATTTGATATTCCCAATCGGCCGTCGGGCTATTCATCATAAAAATTTTCTAAAATTTGTGTCACTTTGTTTGTTGCACCATTACCGGAACCAAAGGTTTTGTTTCCAAATTAGAGGTCAAAAGTCATTCTTTAACTAATGATAAGTCACCAAGCTACATGCTGTAGCACTGCTGTTCCTTTACACACTGAACACTGAAAGGCCTATTGGCTTGCGCTTTGGTATTTCAAGTCTTAGACGTTTTAGTGAGGAGGAGGGGGGAGGGGAGGCGACTGAGACCTCAACTCAGTTTTTACTCGCCAACTGGTTCACATGGATTCTGAATGAAAAACCACTGCCGAGTTTCAAGTGTGAATCATTCGGCGAGCCAAGTTACCATAGCGTATCCCAGACGGTGAGCAAGGATTGCTAAATTAGCTCATTTTAAGATGGTTCGCGGGCCGCATCGCAAGAAATCGTGCGGAGAGGCTTGTGCTGGCGAGTAATCTTCCAAAAGGTACATTTTTGATACGTGAACGTGAAGCCGATACTCGTGAATATGCGCTTACGATTCGAGATTCGGATGACCAGCGCGGTGGTACTGTCAAGCACTACAAAATCAAACGGTATGTCCTTTTGATTTTTTGCCCTTCAGATCCTTAGCCTGCTTTAATTGTACCAAAGGCGACTGGTTGAAAAGAACAGAAGGGTTACCTGTATTGAATGTATGTTTGAATGCTTGGATTCTGTCGTTGATTGCTGTTCTAACGTGCTTTTTTTGCATAACCCACATTTTTTTGTTTGGTGGTACTAATTTTGTTTTGCAATTATACAAAAGCATAAACATACAAGTCCCATCTATGTTTTTTTCCGTCCACCTGCTTCGATTTTTTCGCA